AAAAAAAAAAAAAAAAAAAAAAAAAAAAAAAAAAAAAAAAAAAAAAAAAAAAAAAAAAAAAACAGATAGAAAAGAGAGTATTAAAAACAGACAGGGGGCGAAAGAATCGCCTTGTATATAAGCCAACGAATCCAAAGCCTGGAAGACGAGAGAGACAGAGAGGACCTCCGCGAGCGACGGCGAGCGGTTGTTCTGGTGGTGGCGCTATCGAACGGACATAGAGCTGTTATGGCAGATCCTAACAACTCTGTTTCCGTCGACATGGAGAAGATCTATCTCGGCGGCAAGGTTTGTTTAAATTTCAACTCATTTCTTCTTCTCTTTTGTCCTTCTGGGTTTTTCTTTAATGCCTTGGTTTATGATGGAGTTGAATCGGTTTTTTCTTTCTTGTTTTCCCTCGATCGGGTGATTTAAGCGGGATTTTGCTGATTTGATGGCCAAATAGCCGGTTTTCTTTTGGCGGTGGGGCTGGGGGTTCTCATTATTTGGTGAAACGTCTTACGGCATTCTATAGCTTTGTTTGGATGTGAAGAAAAAAGTAGGAAATTATTTTGGGGATTATTACTTTTCCACTTTTTTTTCTTCTTTTCTTTTTCCCGTTGCGATCTGGTTCATTTATGAGTCTCGATTGACGGAGATTTTTCCAATTTTTGGAAACTATCAATAATTAAGTTCAAACCCTCTCCCAAAGGTTAATTAATTTGCTACATAATGGGTTAGGTTTTGTGGCTACTTTCTTGATTCAGAGATCTGTGTTTTATCCTTACTCGTTTAAATGCAATATGTGATAACGATGGGCTTTGCTTGCGCATTTGCCATTTCTAGCTTCTGGGGTCCTTTTCTTATAGTTTTTATTATGTTTCATTCCGTTAATATCCCTCGTAATCAATTTTTCTTACCCCTTTTGACAAAGATTTTTCACCTGGTCGAGCTTTTATGAAGGTTGGAACAGATTGAAGACATCTTGTTGTATATCTCTACTTTGGGAGTTTGGGTTATCAATGGGTTGTGCAGATTAAAGTTGTTTTTACTTTTTGATCTTTTCTCATTCTATGCTTGTAATGAAACTCTGTATGTGTTGACAAGGGTAGTTGCTTATTTATCTTGGCTGTTGTCATAAGTTTAAGCTGAACTATATATTTGTTATACGCACTACTTTTATTGAGTTATACTAAACTGAAGGGACAAGTTAGCTTGGGCATCTTGAAAGGAAATGCACATGAACTGTTCTTTACGTATATTCTTGGCAAGAAATGTTGGACTATTTGAACTTTTTCCTTTTCTCAAAGGCTTCCTATTTTCTCACCTATAGCTACTTATGTTATTTTCAGGAGTATCATGTAAGAACTGGCCAGGGTTCTGTGTCTGTAATAGTCTGTGGAGACCAAGACAAGCCGCCATTGATTACTTATCCTGATTTGGCTCTAAATCGTAAGCGCCTGGAGTTATCTTTATGTTGTGGTTTTGGTGACGATATTCGGTTTCTTGTTATTTTAGTCATCGTCAAATTATGTGAGCTAACTTTTAAGTGGTGTGTTTCCTCTGAGTTCTTGCAGATATGTCGTGTTTTCAAGGATTATTCTTTTTCCCCGAAGCAGCTTCGTTGCTACTTCATAACTTTTGCATTTATCATATCAGTCCTCCAGGACATGAGGTCTGTATTGTTGTTTGTGTTCATGGATAACTTTGTCTGCTGCTCCTGAATACTATATTCACATAGTTTCCTTTTTGGAACTTTACCAAGAGTTCTTGCAGTTAGGAGCTGCTGAGATTTGTCCGCACGATCCTTCGCCCTCTGCCGACGATTTAGCAGATCAAATTCTTGAGGTTCTCAACTATTTCGGGTAATTACAATGCCCCTTTACTTTTTCTCCACTTTTGAGTATTGAGATGAAAGATTATATAGTCATTTCGAATTTGGATTTGTCTCTTTCAGACTTGGTGCAGTGATGTGTATGGGGGTAACAGCCGGCGCTTACATTCTTACTCTTTTTGCTGTATGTTCCTTGAATCGTGAAGTTCATGTTAAATTCAATATTGAGAAGAAAATTCTTGGTCTGAACAATTTATTCTTTTACAGTTGAAATATAGAGAACGAGTTATTGGTTTAATTCTTATATCCCCCTTATACAAGTCGCCTTCTTGGTCCGAGTGGTTCTATAATAAGGTACCCTTTTCAGGCCTTTTTGAGTTTTTATTCATGTTCAATATCACATATCCCTTTTGTAATTGTAGGTAATGTCGAACTTGTTATACTTCTATGGCATGTGCGGTTTGTTGAAAGAGTGCTTGCTTCAGCGATACTTCAGCAAGGTTATGTAGTTTCCATTCTTGGAGCTAATCCGGCTTTCTATGTTGTCTTTTATACTCGTGTTGTTGACTAGATTCATGAGATTGTTCTTTGTTCTAACACACAACAGGAAGTCCGTGGTAGTGCCGAAGTTGCAGAGTCTGATATCGTTCAAGCGTGTCGAAAAGTATGTGTGTTATGTCAAAACTAGTTTGTTTGTCATGTGTTTCTTTCTCTTGTTTTTGGGTTTGTTTGATAAAGATGGCATATCTGTTCTGTCAGTTGCTAGATGAGAGACAGGGCAACAATGTTTTGAGGTTCCTTCAAGCAATTAATAGGTAAATGCTATTCCCATCTCAACCGTTCGTTCGTTCCCTTCGTCCTCGTATGCCGAACTGCAACCTTGTTTCCCCTTTTTGCAGAAGACCAGACATCACCGAAGGGTTGAAGAGGCTCCGGTGTCGTACTCTCATTTTCGTCGGGGACAGTTCACCTTTCCATTCTGAAGCACTTCATATGATATCAAAACTGGATAGAAGATATAGTGCCTTGGTTGAGGTATGGCATTCAAAAAATCGAATTCTCCAGCAACAACAACTGCCTAGGCTTAGTTAGTTAAATGATTATAACTCGACGGTTGGTTCATCGTAGGTCCAAGCTTGTGGATCGATGGTAACCGAAGAGCAGCCACATGCAATGTTAATACCTATGGAGTACTTCTTCATGGGGTACGGGTTATATCGACCATGCCAGTTCAATGGCAGTCCACGAAGTCCTCTCAGTCCATCTTGCATCTCCCCAGAGCTCCTTTCTCCAGAAAGCATGGGATTAAAGCTAAAACCTATAAAAACCCGCATTTCTTAAACATCGTCGTCATCGTCGACCGAACAGGTAGAATTCGAAACGAAGAGGGGATTCAAACGTCGGTCTGTCTGTCTGTCTGTCTCCGTCATTCCAAGTTTTTCTTTTCCAGATTTTGGATTCGATGAAGGGCGTCTGTAGATAGGGAGAGATGCAAGTTTAAAAAAAAGAGTGTTACATGGATGATGATGATGATGATGATGGGTAAATAACAACACACTATAATAGGGAGAAAAACATTCATTCTTTTGTAGTCATCAGACATAAAAGAGTTCAATCTGACCAAAGTATATTTATTCATCAATGACATTGAGCTGAGCTGAGCTGCTGCTGCTGCTGCTGCTGGTGGTTGTATATGTATGTTTTTAATATTGCAATACAGATTGAATGAATGCTAGCTGGGATTCACTGAATAAGCATAAACTTTTGCCGCCCTTACCGTGATTCCCGCTCTGTTTCTTAGAACAGTTGTAACAACATTCATGTGCGGCCCTGGTTGCCTATGATTCCCTTCATTTATGCCGCCTTTGATCATGTCATGGGGCCTGGATGTCATCCACAGGTTGTTCTACACTTCGGGCTAAATTAGTAATTATAAATAGGTTTTTAAATATTCAATCTTTAACTTTACTATATGTATATATTTAATAATCACGGGTATATGAAATTATAAAAGTAAAATTTATAATATAATAAATCTATAAAATTTATTGTTTTTTTTTTTCTTCTAATTTTTACCTTTTAAAAAATATTTGAATTTTTAAACAAATTTTAGAAAAAACGTTTTGTAAACGGAAGAATTTAATATTTATATTGATAATAAATCATAATAATATTTTAACATAATTAAATTGTTACAAAATTTAAAATTTAATTATCAAATTGTTATAAAATTAAAAGTACAATATAATATTTTTAATTCGACCGATTAAGCTAGGAGACTTATACATTTATTTTTATAGTTGAATTATGTTTATATTAGTAAAAGTATTTTTATTATAATTAAATTTTAAACGAATTTCTAATTTTTAATTTGATATGATTTTTTTTTGTATTATTAAAAGTTTTAAAAAATTACTTAATTAATTTTAGATAATAAGACAAAAAGGAAAAAATCTAAATCCACTGATCTGACGGCCCTTCTTCATCGCCGAATACTGAACGCTCGTTACAGTTTCTTGTTTCGACTTATTGGCGCCGTCGGGTTTCATCGTCGGCGGCTGAGTTGACTGTGTAAACAACCCCCTGGCCTCTTGGATCGCTGCGAATTCGGTTTAAGTTGGAGGACTGTTTGCGATGGCCGAGATGGCTGGGATTACGATAGTTTTCGACTTCGATCGGACGATCATTGATGGCGATAGCGATAATTTGGTGGTGACGCGAATGGGCCTCACAGATCTGTTCAATGAGCTTTACTCTTCCTTGCCTTGGAACTCTCTCATGGTTTGGATTTTTCATTTTACATTTTCTACCGTCTCTGTACTTCAGTTCTCAACTCATTGATTGCTATAGTATAGATGGAATTAGGGAAATGAGGAATTATTCTTATTTCACATGTTATTAGTAAAGAATTTCGAATTTGGCGTTTGTTTAATCTTCGACTTATGTTGAATTTACTCTGGCTATGGAATGCTGAGATTGATTTTGATTATTTTAATTTTGATAGGATACCTTGATGGTGGAGCTCCAATCTCGAGGAAGAACTATGAGGGATATTGCTGAATGTCTGGAAGGGGCTGCGTTGCATCCACGAATTGTTGCTGCTATTAAATCAGCTCATTCCGCCGGGTAGCTTTTCTCATCTGTTTATGATCAAATTGGTGTAAACCACTTTTTTCAGGGTCAATATCACTCCTAAACATGTTTTTAATCATTCAAAATCAAATTAATGTTTGGTTTTACACTTTTAAATGTGATTTTCATACCATTTTGAAGGATTAAAACCATATTTTAGAGTGATTCTGATGACTAACTAGAAGAACATGGAATTGATGTTATCCAGATGTGACTTAAGGATAATTAGTGATGCTAATCAGTTTTTCATCGAGACAATCTTAGAACATCATGGTGTGTTGGGATGCTTTTCAACTATCAATACGAATCCTACCTTTGTAGATGGGGAAGGAAGGCTTAGAATCTTACCATATCATAATGAATCATCTCCTCATGGCTGCAATTTGTGCCCATCAAATATGTGTAAGGTATTATCACTCAATCACTTGTTGATCTAATCCTGCATTTATATCTTGCTGTATGATTGAAAGGCCAGTTCAATGTCTCTGCTGATTAAAGAAAGCTTTTCTAGGTGCTTTCTATATTAAACTTGCATGAGTTTTAAGATAGAAGATATGCTATGCACTTGCTATGTTTGAATCTGTGAGGACCATGCGTTTCTGGTATGATATCTGGGGGATAAACAGAGCGACCAAAGCCTCCCTTTGTGCTATAGATGAGACATATTATGGAGCAATAACATATTTTTGTTGCTTTTCTTGGACTTATCCTGTTAAGTTAGGTTCTGATCCAGTTAGATTACAAGTTTAGTCCATGAACTTGCAAGCTCGTGTCTAAAAGGTTCTTAAATTTTAAAGTGTTTAACACGTCCTTGGATTTTCAATTTTGGGTCTAATAAGTTCCTGAGATGACTGAAATTTTTACAAATTAGTTGTTGTACTTTATGTCTTATAGGACTCTATCTCTGAATTTTAAACAAACGTTGGATAGGTTAATGACGTATTTGACACAAAATTGAAGGATTTATGAGACACTTGTTAAAGTTCATAGAGCCTGATAGACATAAACCGAAAGTTCGGAAACTAAACTTATCATCTAACGTATTGGTTACATCCCAACCCCACATGGAAACCCATCGAGTTTGGTATGTGGTTACTGAAAATATGGTAGCTTGGAGCATGACTTGCATCTTATGTCAAACCAACTTTCCTCCACCATTCAGTGTATAGAAAGAACTCCTTCATTTCTTCATTGCTTCATTTGTAAGATGTAAAATGATTTACAATGTGGGCATGAGATTACTTGAATACACTTATGACATTGAACTGCGGATTCCATGCAGGGCCTGGTAATCGATCAAATCCGAGCTTCTAAAACCGAAAAAAACGACTTCTTCATATACATTGGAGATGGGAGGGGCGATTTTTGCCCGACCCTGAGACTTGAAGAAGGAGACCATGTGATGCCTAGGAAGCTATATCCCCTCTCCGATCGCATCAACTCCAATCAAACGCTCGTGAAGGCTAAGATCCATGAATGGAGTGACGGGAACGAGCTGGAGAAGAACTTACTCCAGCTCGTAGATGTAAAATAATTCAATCAAGGAGACACTTCAGGTAAATAAATAAATAAATAAGGAAAAGGACTTATTAGACACAAAATTAAAATTTAAATCGAAAGTGGATGATTATACTTACATTTTAAGCAATTAAAGAAGAATAATTAGGAATTTTCTCTGTTAACTTTCTGCTTCTCTACCTAATTTTGGATCTATTCTTTCTCCAACACAGCATATATAGCATAAAGTTGGAGGGACAATTTCTTTTTTAGTGCATTTTTTTTTATAAAAAAAACTATCTTATTTTAATAATTAGTTCTTAAGAGTCGTAATCAAGGTTTATCCTCTTGTGCTTGAAATAACTATTTATAGTATATATTTTTTAAGAACAAAAAGTACAATTTTAGATTACTTTTGAACAACTTTCTATTTTATTTTATATTTATTTTTGGATTTTTAATTATTGTTCATTTTTTGCGAGGAAGAACTAAATTATAATTTTTAAACTATTTTTTTAGTAAAAAAAAAAAAAAAAAAGAAGAAATTAATCTCTGAAGTTTTAAAATTATGGACATTGAGTTTCTTTATTTTATTTTATTGTCTATTTAATTTATATAATTTAATTCATTAACTTTTACTTAGTTTCGAATAAATTCTTAACTTTCAGTCAAATAGCCACTAAATATATATATGGCATATTACAGACATTTATAATTTTAAAAATGATTTTTTATATATTAAATAATCTATGTGTCACGTCAATAAATATATTTAATTTTTATAATTTTTCTTTTTAAAATTCTCTACTTTTGAGATTTATAGACAATAAATGTACTTTACAACCCTGTTTTGTTTTATATATAAATAAAATAATAATAATATATATATTTTTTCTACCCAATATGGTTTGAGCTGGAATTGACGTAAATTTTCGACTGGGAGGAGGCATTGGTACGACTAAGTTTAGGGCATGACTCTGATACCATGTTAGTAGACGACTCTCCACAATGGTATTATACTGTCCACTTTGAGCGTAAGCTCTATGGCTTTGCTTTGTGCTTCTCCAAAATGACTCACACGAATGGAGAGAATATTTTTTTGTGTTTATAAACCCATAACCATTCCTTAAATTAGTCGACGTGGGACTTTCATCATTCAACAAGTAATAGTTTCCCTGAGACCTATCCAAACTCGGTGAGGTTCTATTCCTGATATCCCGATACCAAATATTTTTGTAAATGATTTCAAAACTATCGTTCAAATAAAAACGAGTGATCGTAGCTTGAAATGATACGACAATGATAAAAAATCAACCGACTTATTTATAATATTTATAAAATAATACATATAATATTACTATTTTTGAAAAAAAATAGCCAAATTTTAATTTAGTATAACAAATAAAAGTAATGAAAAGAAGCGGAGTCGTGGACTTATTTGACTGGTCTGACACGGTTCGAGCCAAATTCAGAAACGCTTCCGTCTTCGTCTTCCCTTCCAATTCTGTTTCTTGAATCACAATCGATTCTCCAAGACTATTTGATTAATCTCTTCTTTCCCCCCCTAAGTTGATGATCAATGGCGAAGAAGAGAGAACAAAGAGAGGTGGGCACGATCATGGATGGGGTCATAGAGGCTATGCCTCAATACGCTAAGGAGCTGGTCGCCGGCGGGGTTGCCGGTGGAATTGCGAAGACCGTCGTTGCTCCACTTGAGCGTGTCAAGATTTTATTCCAGGTAATTTCTTCTCAGCATTCTCTGCCCTTGGTAGTGATTGTTCTTCATTTTTGTTGTTCTGTGGAGTTGAATTGTTGATCGTGTTTGTTCTTGGATTTGTTTTAGTTTGTTTGCTTTAGGAATTTGTTTGTTTTTGTCTTGTAAGTGATTTAATCGTGATTTGTTGGGAATTGAGCTCAATTTAATGTTACTCCTTTTCGAAATTAGAATGTATATTAGTTGTGGTGCATCTTGAGGAATTTCGTTTTCGTGTTCATGAATGTATCTTTTCCTTTCCTTATTCTTTATCTTCTTTGTTCTCCCTTGGAAATTAGAATGAGATTCTACAAGAATGAGGTGCTCTGCTGCATGTTCTTTCGGATTTTAGCTTATAATTTCAGCTTAAACATTAAATCTAATAAATAAAAGATGGAACTCCCATTATTTTTTCAGTCCTGATTGTGGAAAAAGCAAGATGCGCTCGAGTCCATAACTTCTTCGCATTTTACTTGATAGACAGGAAAAGAACTCCCGCTGGCTTTACTTGATCAACAGGATCCTTTTTGTTTCTTTTGTTTTTGAATGACAAGAACTTAAAAAATTTATGTAATAAACTAAAAGATTCTCAAAAAGAGGGGAGCTTAAATTTAAGATCAGTGAGATTACAGAGAAACTCTCCTAAATTGGTTTAAGTAAAGAATAATAGCTTGAACTCTCTTATAGATGGAATATCTGGAGGAACTCTTTCTAGCAATTTTCTCTTTTCTAACATCTAAAAGGACTTCTGTTCCTTAAGAACAATCAGTCCCATAAAACGGGTAATACAGAGTTTATGATTTAAATTCCAGTCAGTCCCATAAAACGGGTAATAAAGAACAATCAGTCTAGATGCCAAACTCTTGATTCCAAGCTCATGGCTTTCAAGTGCATTCTCCAAAATATTGATTCCAAGCTCATGCCAAACTATTGATAAATTTTTTTCCCCAAAATATTAGGCACAGTTTATGATTTTTCATTTTTTGGATGTCAATGTTTTTGCTATATTTTAAATAATGTAGAGTTGATGTTGAATTTATGATCCTTTTTTCATATTGGAAATTTTCTACTTAGTCCTGTGGATTCTGAAGTCCATCCAATTTTTTCACGGTAAAATGTTTTCCTAGAAGTTAACATCTGTACTTACTTGTCAACTTGTTAGACCAGAAGAGCAGAGTATCAAAGCATAGGATTATTTGGATCTATCAAGAAGATTACAAAGACTGAAGGTTTTCTGGGTTTCTACAGGTGGGTACATAAAGTGCTATTATTTTTTGTGCCAAGGCCCCACCCCACCCCCCCCCCCCCCCCCCCCCCCCCCCCCCCCCCCCCCCCCCCCCCCCCCCCCCCCCCCCCCCCCCCCCCCCCCCCCCCCCCCCCCCCCCCCCCCCCCCCCC